TCCACCTTATACACAACACACCTCATCTGGCACACCTTCTGCTCCCCACAGATCGTGCAGTTTGTTCGTTCGCACCGATTCTCATATGGACGTGATGATGTCAGAATGCGTCGTAGCGAAGGTGGTGGTCGGAACACCAAGTTTATTGGGAGTCCTGATCTTCTTACAACGCGGTCTATGTCCATAGCGAACTCATCGGTGATAAAGGGTAGTAAGAGAGGGGTGCCAGATGGTGATCGACACGGTTTCCAAGTACGGTGTTGTCCTCTTTTATAACCGTTTTGCCGCAATATTTCATCCACTTCGGTCATCACCTCTTGAACGTTCACGGAAGTCAGGTTACATGATGTCGAGATCATGTGATGAACGACATTCAGTTTCATGTGGAGAGGGTGGCAGCTACGGGCGTGTATCAAGATGTTACGAGATGCCCCTTTCTTATACCACATTGCACTGATTTGACCGTCCATGATTCTGACTTTCGTGTTTAAAAATGGTAGAAATCCGTCTGGCGAAGGTTCTTCCGATGTCAGTTGTATCGACTCATGCGCTGAATTCAACTTAGAAAACGTCTCTCGCAAAGCAGCTCTTGTTTTGCCGACGATAAAGATGTCATCGATGTATCGTCCGAAATATAATATTCCTGATGACAGAGCTTGTCGTTCAAGGCTATCCATGAACACAATCGCGAGCAACGGAGCCAGTCTGCTTCCCATAGCGAGTCCTCGTTTCTGCTTATAAAATCGATTCCGGAAACGGAATATATTCACTTCCACCACTGTCCGTAGAAGCTCTTCCATGTCGTTGATACTGAGGTCAAAAAGCTGAAGTTCTTGATGATGTATGCGTAAAAGACGAATGCAAGACTCCACAGCTCTTTGCGTATCAACGTTCGTGTATAGAGCTACAACATCAAAACTTTGGTATACCAGTCGTGGTTTGTTGTTGAAATTACACTGCCTCAGTTGCTCCAGGAATTGTCTTACATTCTTGAGATGGGAAGAGACATGTTGAAGCAGTGGGCAGAGGATCCGTTGTAAGAACCAGCTGATTCTGTCTGTCGGTCCGCCACAGGATGCAACTATTGGCCTTGTCTTGATGGACGTAGTGTCCACAGTACCATCGAGCTCGCTCCGAACCAACTTATGGGTCTTGACCAATTGATAATAAGTTGGTGTGCTTGTGTGCTTCGGCATCAATTGGGCCAAAATGTTCTTTTCAAGCTTTGGGACCAAGTATCCTTGTGACAACTTCTTCAAGATTCTTGCACTCTCGTTTATAATGTTCGGCAGTGACCACTGTATAGGTTGTGGCATCTGACAGAACAGTTTCGCATAAAGAGATGTCCCTTTCTTGCGACATCACAACAAAGCCACCGCACTTATCTCCAACTGAAAACCGCAACGACCTCTTCAAGTCAATGGCTTTTCTAAGACCTGCTCGCTCCATATGTGTCATATTGTCTGGAACTTGCCGTCTTCTATGTTCGTTGTATACTCGAAGAAGGTCCAGCTTGAGGGCGGCTATTCTCGAATTAAATTGTGGATCATGCTGTGGTGTGCTGACATGGATTCGAGGAAAAGGCATTTCTCTACGAAGAGTTTCTTGAAGAGTCGGTACCGTGGGTCCAATTTGGTTTCTCCAGCATTGACTGTACCAAAATCTCTGTACGGCGGTAACGATGTCCTTTTTACTGTCTCCCGAGAAATTTTGGTCCAGGACAAAAATTCGAAACAAAAATTCGGTCGAGAATTTATGTCAACGCTTCAGAGCGTCGTCATCCTTCCACTTCGACACGCACAAGAAAGGCCACCGGAACTTCGTGTTGTCATTCTCTTCAGGAATATAGTTGATCCGGTCGAGCGAAAGATAAGGGAAGCATTGGAAATAAAGCAATGTGCACCACCGATCAACAACAAGGAGGAAATGAAGATGGCAATGAGACTTATAGAAATGTGAGGCTGTGCGACGTGCGAGAGGGAAGTCTTCGTGACTATGAGAAGATCATTCCCTTCCCTCAACCCATTCAAAAGCCCACGTAGCATACCTCCCTCATTCTTCCGTTCTCAACCATCCCGTCCTCCCCTCTCCCCCTCCTTTACTGTAGGACGGCATAGGTAGGATGCACTTGCTGTTTAACAATGTTTGTTGTGTTGAATTGTATGTGCAATGTTTTTCAGTTGATCTGAAGAAGGGCTTATGCCCGAAACGTTATCAGTAAAGTTTTATAAGAAAAGAGTCTTCGATTTCCCAGGTTTTTACATACGCAGTATCATACACCATTCGAAAGAGATTCTCTGCTCTACAAAACACTATTTCCTTCCCTCCACTCTGAAGAAACGTACGTAAATTTAGAGCTGCGAGTCGGAAAGGTTCCACTCTGCAAATATTAATCAGAACGCGGAGAGCCAGATCTGACTCCCACGCGCGTTTTTACAATATAAGGTGAGAGAAACGTACAGTGTAGTACAGTTTTTCACGGTACAGTCCTTGAGCATTTATAAGATCGAGCCCGATCACTTCGGTAGGAACTCGGCGAAGACTATGTGTTGCAGCTCGGCGATAACAATGCGACGAGTTTCCTGAAGTAAAGAAGATCATGAGAAGACTAGGAGGCGTGGCAGAAACTTATGGTCATTTGAGACCGTCGTATTTTTAATAGACTAGATATCCACGGGAGGAATTCTTTTTTCCAAACTTCTTCAGCGCATCAGCATGGAAAATGATGCCATATTGCCGAAAATGAACTCGGAGACTTAAACCTTGGTGTTTGCCGATCCAGTGAATGTATGCAGAGGGCTTAATCAAAAACTCATGATTTAGCGCGAATACTGGCCTGTTCATATAGAGCTGAAGTGGATGAACTTCAATAAGCATACAACATGCAGAACCACGAGCAATAAATTTTAATGGGAAAGTTTAGAAGTGTTGGCCCGGCTAATAATTGGAACGGAGCCAAAACACATTGGTTTTTATTGGCATGGTGCCTGCAGTAAAATCGAAGCTGGCATGACTGGCGGTAACAGTGTCCCGATGTTCCTTCTACTGCTGACCGCAACTCTTACCTCCGTCTTTGACTACTGTACAAACTCGCCCGGAAATCAGCCTTATCTGTGAGTATTTTGAAAAATTTAGATTTTCGCTTATAAATGTCATCCCACATAGCACCTCTTCCTCATCACTTCTGCGTAGTCACATACTTTCAGCGGGCCCTTCGTCATCCCAAATTGACCAGCCCTGCCTGCTCAGTTCTGAAAAACATGACCCGTGGAACAAGGCACCGCAGCGGGCCATCTGAACATTCATTTAGCCTATGAGCTAAACCCTATAGATACTCGTCCGTCTCTGGGGTTAACGCAGCGCCCCGAATTCTTCGTCCACGCATCCCGATGTGCTCGCCGCGCATCCCAGAACTCTGTGTGCATCACGGCGTCCAATCCGGGTTGCTGGCGAGTCTCCTGAAAAGCTCGCCATTTATGGAAAAGCTTACTGTTGCCCCATCATCATGTGCTCACTCGCTTCACAACACGTATAAACCGAGGTGCATCGACGACGATCAACCTTAACCTGTCGATATTTGTGATACTGCCTGATTAAAGCGAGGGATGAACCCAATACCGACTTGCTGTTGGGGTTCATTGTGGAAGTGGTGCATGGCCAAGTTAACCCAGTGGCGAAAAGAGCGCAGAAATCCGTCAAACGCGCCAAATGGGACCACTTCCTATGTCAGCGTCCGGTGATCGAACGAGCTGGTAAGGCCCCCTAAGGGTTGTCAGCGACTCGTTACCAGCAGCCAACCATCATACCACCAGAGATCATACCTTGATTGATATAGCATTCCATGAGAAAAAAATTGGATACGCGCTCGAAGTGGCATACCTTATCAGAATGATAATCGAACAGCGATCTGCTGAGGGGCGGAGCACAGGCGGAGGCGGAGCTCAGAAAGGATTGGCAGCCCCAGGGCGCTGCAACGAGCGCACCTTTAGTCACAAAAAGGCCACATCTCGATTCCTTTGGGCTCTAGCTACTGCTTGAAGTGCTGCTCGTTCCATGCTGCACAGAGACTTTATCGTAATCTCTCGCTTTAACGCCGCAGTTCACGTCACGAAACTTACCACATGAATGCTGAGTTGTGGGCAAAACCTTCGTCCCAGCCGGGATTCGTACCCGGACCCCTTGTCTTGCCGGACAATTGTGTACCAGTTACATAGCTATGGGTAACTTGTACAAAGCTGAGTTGGGGTTGAAATGGTGAACCGGTGGTGGCACATTCGCCCGAAATCAAGAGATCCTGCTGAGGCAAAAGTTTTACCCACAACTCAGCGTTGTTGTGATGAAACTGTTCTGATTGAACCCTTTCAGAATCCCGTCGCGATTTCGGAGGCCATTTCCCCACCATCGATTCTGCACAATGCATGCGGCGCATGACCACACATGGGCAACCACTTTGTTTGGTTTATTTGGCATTTGCTCATGCAAGTCAGTGAACCGTGTAATGTCAGCGTCAGCGCATTTCAGGACTCGGCTAACAATATAAGCGTGTTACCAATCATTTTTGTTTTCTTGTATGTTATGCCGGCTCAATGCTCATAACAAAGCTGCTGCGTTTCAAAATGCTTCTTTTACACTTTGTAATAGAAGAAAGCAGGCTGAACCCGTAGTTAACGGCAAGTGGCGCGCAGCACGGATGGCGAGGGTCTAGATCCATTTCGCAAAAGCCGAAGCAAGCTTCCATCTAATAGGGGGTGTTTAATCGCAATCATGATCAGTTTTGGTCATAGTTTCCTTCTTCACATAATTTGATATGGAATCGTGAGAGGGGGGAAAAAGAAACCATGGCTCGTGTGCTTGTGTGCAATCGCACTGAAATTTCAAGAATGTGACAAGTTGTCGAAGTGAAGATTCCCAAGAGACCTTTGCCTTCCTTCACAATATATCGCTATGTCTTTTTTGACAAGTTCAGGACGTTTTAGGTTTACAATAGAAAGTCAAGAACCTCACCTCTCATCGCCGGCTACGAAACATGGATTTCGTGGTGATGATCGACAATCCTTTTCTTGATTTCCTTGTGGTAACATCACCTGACCCTGCCCTGAATTAGTATATTATGTCTTATGAAGTAGCACATTCAAATAATGAAGTCGCGCTAAAAAGTTCGAGTGTGTCCATTACTACCCGTTCATTTCAAGTAATATGTACGTTCGCGCGTCTCATCAAAGTGCAATGAAGTTCACACCTGCGGAACTAGTACAAAAAGCTCAAAAATGGCACTTGTTGTGCTCGAATGATGGACTAGTCAATGCAGCTACAGTCCACAATAGGAAGGTATGCAAAATGAATGCTATATAGGTAGAAACTCCCGTTCTTGATTGCACGACTGTTTATGAATAAAAATCTGATAGTTTACCCTTTGGAATAGACTTCAAGCGCTAATCGCTGATCTCAAGTGTTTGACAGACGCGTTTGCATTCCGAACAGTATATGGCCTCACATTAACTAGTATTCATCCCCAATTTGACTCGTTAGTTCTTGACAATTGGAAAGGGGGGGGGGGGGGGTAAGAGTTACAGCACAATCTCGTTGGAAGCTCTTTTTTGTTAACGTGCTGTTTTAACGCCGCAGTTAACAAACAAAACAAGTCAAAATCCATTGCTAAAGCTTTCAGCCTCGCGGTCATTGCCGATATCGGCTAACCGGCTCAACACGTTATACGTGTGAGTGCTGAAAGCTATGGTACGTATACCATGAAAAGCTGAGTTGGAATGAAATGGTGCCCCGGTAGCGTAACTGGTAGCGCACTTGCCCGGAAAGCGAGAGGTGCGGGTTCTAGTCCCGCCTGGGGCGAAAGTTTTGTTCACAACCCAGCATTCTTGTGAAACATCATTGACGCTGAAGATTATTCGACTTTTGTAATGGGTTGGAATGAAGACACTGCCAGCATGCAAGAATCGATCTGAAGTGTTGTGGTCCTTCCTCACTGTGTGTACATATTATGTCGAAAACCAATCTCGAATATCTACGAGATAACTGAGAAAAACTCAAATGTTTAATTCACCATGCTCATGTAATATTAAAAGTTGCTGTGCAACATCTCTGCTAAACTCCTCCCCTCCCCTAACTCCTCCCCCCCCAAAAAAAACACAATCTCGCAGGAGTAAAGAACCATAAAAGTACCGCGCATTTTACGCCTAACGCGGACCACAAGCCAATCGTTAAGCGTATAGTTCGCTTTTGCATGTTATGTCTCCCACGAAGAAGAAGTGCTGAGTCAATTTAGTGGAAACCAATGAACATATCACCCGATCGAACTCTTTCGGTAACTTTTCACTATATGGCCGACGTACCGAAATCGGTAAAGTTGAGTAGTCCACGAGTGCCCATTCGTAGGTGTTTTGATTCGCATTCGGTAGAGCCATAGATCACCGAGCCGTCAATATAGGAAGTCAGCTAATAAAAGAATTTTAGTTGACAGAAAGACTGAAAAACTTAAAGACATGTACAAGTGCTACCTGGTTAATCTGATTACGGTAGCCAAGGTTCAGTTGTCCGAGTAGTGATCGGGCGAAGGGCAAACACCGTGGTTCTCCATTCGGGTAATGGGTCGGGAAGAAGGGGTCATCGGATTCGACTCGAATGGGCATACAGTGTACCGATATCGTTTCTGGTGAGTCACATCTGAAAATATCAAACAAGTTGTACCTAGACTAATCAAGATTGACCTAAGCGCAAAGGTCTGCCCTAACAAACTGTCCCATGACCCCAGATCAAACCCCAGAGCGCATCTCCTCTTAACACGAGAGCCTCTCACCTCGTGCAATTCAAGATTTCGTCGTTGGGCCCGCGTGCCGTCGGTGAATGAGTCAGCTCATGGTCGATCAACTGACCAAACTGCATGACCATATGAGTGAATTTCACGTGTGAGATATCCCGATCTTCACAGACAACGTTCGAGATCTAAAAATAGCCGTGTGATGGTAAGGTCAACAGCAAGAGTATTGAGATATGGGGACATCTACTGCCTCTAAGCCAACATTATTCCTATGTCAAAACACACATGCTTCAACGAGGTTCGAATATCGTGACATTAGCCTAGTGATCCCAGGACTATTCGAATGCTAAAAATTTTTTCGAGGCTTCGCATTGAAAACGTCTTCATTTTGTTTTCGGAATTTTTGAGGGATTATTTTTGAGAAGGGGGCGGAAGTGGTGTAGTGGCAAGTGGCACGCTTACCACGCGAGCGGTCCGGGGATCAAATCCTGGGTCGTGAGTCGCCGGGCCAACCAAGCCTTCCATCCCTCCGGGGTCGGTTAATTGGTACCAGACTTGTCTGGGAGGATAAAAACACTGACTTGTACATCGGCTGGCCCCCGCAAGTCATTGTATAGGCCACATCGCATTCAAACGCCACTACGAATGTACAAATGGAAGTAGAATGCGTGCCGCATCCCAAAATTGATCAACGGCAAAATGCTTTATCATCCTTTAGTTCAAAGAAAATTCTACAATTTCACTATTCGAATCTTGGCTTTTCGGATGTTATAACCTTATACTAACATTCAAGGAGAAAATGAAGTTCTCTGATCAAGTAACTTGTTCTACAGACAAATTTTTTTAACTGTCCAAATTTGTGAGGGTTTCCTCGAGGTCATTAGGTAGTTTATTTACTTCCATAGAGACGGCACAAGTCGCCCTACTAATGGTCTTCGGGAAAATGATTCTTCCCAACAGGCCTTAACCGCTGGGGTGGCAGAACCGTAATAACATGGAAGTGTGCGACACGTAGCTAAATGCCTTCGCGTGCCCGCAGCGACCTCCGCCACAAGTCGCTGGTGGGAGAACACCTCGTTGCCCAAGGAGCCTGGCGTAAGTCTTCGCGGACTTGCGTGCGGCTTATCTCGCGAGTTTTTACCTCTTTCGTTAGCGATATGTACCATTCGTTATGCCATCGCTCGAATCTGTTTGTCTTTGTTTCCTATGATGTTCTGCTTCCTTCCCGACGTTTCTCTTCACACTTCTTGCCTAGTTTTCGAAGAAAATATGCACCAATTAGGAAATGATTTGCTGCGGGACATGGGATAGTGAGAAGTTTCCGTGGACGATTCCTTTGCCTTGGACTAAATTCGCAAAAGCAATGAATGAGTCTTACACGTCGTGGATTTGGCAACGGCCTGCCGCTCTTCGCACGACTTCGTGGTGCATCAAAGCCGTCTTCGTATACTGGTGGTAGAAGGTGTCGCAACGGCGAGAAAGCATTGGCATAACTGGGAAATTTCAGATTGTTACACCATCCAGTGTGGGTACGGTACCTGAAAAAGCAATATTGCTAAGTCTCACTATGACTGAATATTCCTAGCTCTCACCGCAGAGGAATCGTCGGAACCGAGAAAAAAGAATGAGAGCGAAAAAAATTAACAGTCTTAGAAGATCAACAGTATAACAGTATAAAAAGTCAAAGGACGCACTTGGTGGTATGATCGCATGGGAGCATTTTTGGTAAACATTCGTCGTTTGACGATTGTCCGTCATCGGACAGGAATGCAGTGAAATTGTTTACAAAAGTGGATACGTCCACATCAGGCAGCACTCGCTGCAGTACGTCCATCTCGAGCGCTGGCAGTTTCTCGTCTTCTGATAGCGCTTCACTGAAATCAAAGCTATCAGCAGTTGCTGAGCAAATATCTGAGAGAAGCATCCGAATGACTGACCCTTTAACGAGCAGTTTGGTGGTCTCGAGGAGAACTGCTGACACCTGAGAGATTTGTTTGGCGTGCACCTTGGCTCGCATCATATTCGCGTAAGCGAATAGCGGATCGCCTTTGACGAATGTGTGCTGGTCTGAAAACAGGGTATTGGTAACCTGTGCAGATGTGCATGCTTATCTGATTGAACTTAGTATGCGTTGGACTTACTTCTTCGCAAGTTCGATATTTCCCGTTTTCGCTGGTCTTTCAGATTAAGCATGGCTAGATTGACGACCTGGAAAAGCCACTTCAACTATTTGTAATGACCTTTTAACCTCCGTTCTTGTTGAGCCAATCCGTAACTGTTTGTCCCGATGTGGTCAAATTCAACCTTTGTTGGAACAAAAAATCAAGGACCACTCCACCAGCTTTGTTGGTGTGTACAAAATCAGCAGCTTAGATCTAGAAAGCTGCAATAGACTCGTCGCTCCCAGCAATGAAAGTAGGAGTGGTAAACGCTTAGAAGCACAGAAAAACCACAGTAACGCTCAAAAACCCGCAAATTTAACCATTGAATTTTCCGTTCAAAATCCACGCTATACGACCAGTTCAATAGCGTAATAACTTATTTATAATAATGTGGTTTAAAATTCTGTGGTAAGTTATTTTTGGGAATTTCGTTGTTAGGTTCTTTAATAAGTTATATGAGTATGGATGTTTTATTAATACTTTTAATAAATAAGAAACAACTCCCAATTTCAGTTTTTTATTTAATTAAGAGTAAATTTTTATGTAAGAAAAATCTTTGGAAGCAGCAACCGTCGATTCCGGGTAAAGGCACAACAGCCTCCAGAGAGTAGGGTGAAGCCTTATTTCGTTGCTGCAATTACAGCCTTCGTCGTATCAACGCCAGTTTCGCTCTTTTCAGGGCTCAGCATCCTTCAGATGTATGCATATTTTCTTTTCTCTAG